AAAATACGTACATCTCATTATATAGAAAGACAAAAAGAAAATTAATGTTTTGCTGTAGAAAGAGGAGACGTTGATATCATTGTAAGCAACACTCAGATGATGTTATGTGGAGTGCACATAACAGCATGTAACATTATGATCATGGATGCATTATGAAAGTGGATTTGTAAGCCCACCAATCCTCAAATTGAGGGAAAAGGGTGAGAAACAAATGAATTAGTACTAGAAACAGAAAGCTGAAGCGATTTAACAGAAAGGTTGAGGCCTGAGGGTGTCAATTATTAGGGAGGGGAAAAGATTTCTCCTTCATGATTTTGACATTGCTCTATCAACATACTTGTTTGTGCTGAAGAACTATTCATTCTATGTGGCGTAAATAAGTGGTTAACTTTTACTGTCCATGCAACTCATCATCACTTTATATACTCTCTCTCTTCATCATTGATTACATCTTTATCGGAGTGATTTACATATATCATATATGCTACTCCCCTCTGCTTCACATAAGTGTTTACTGATGTTATTGACTCAATTAGTCCAATAATTCACAAGAGGGTCCACTTGTGGCCACGAGTTTCATAATCTTGAAGATATAATTTTAGAGTAGTAATTAAGGGTTGTAATCATGATGATCCTTCAATGCCGTTGTCCAATTTTCATCAACATACATCACCAAAAAGAAATTATTGTGTTTCGTGCAAAAAAAAAAGTCTCAAATTACTTTTTCTCAAGGATTTTATCATACATATGTATAATAACTTTAGTTCAGCAATCAGCATACAACATATACATTCATTCATACATATATATGTACGTCTCTGTAGCTATGAAGATAGTATAACTCTTTCCTTTCTTTTCAATTCAATTTCCATTGTGCAATAAAATCAAATTGCATCTTGCTAAAATTACCTTCGGTTATTTGAAGACGTTAATTAAAATTAAACTTCATATATTAAAATTTCATTGCCAAACCTAGTTTGTCTGTTTTTTCCTCACTGACTTGAGATTATAATGAACAAATTAACTTACAATCTGTGACGACTGCATGGAGTAATTTTTTTTAGGGTTATAAAATGTTCATAAGATAGTTTCGGTTATCCTAGAGAATTTGTGATTGTCACATAACTTTTGAAGGATAATAATGCTGTCAAATGCATCCCGAATATCATCTTGCAGGAAACCTAGTTAGAGTCCATTTGAATTAATTTTAATTTAATTTTAGTCAGTGACTCGCTGCTAAACACATCTCAACGCATTAAGAAAAACAAAAGTTCCATTCCATCGATAAACCTACACGAATTTCAGTTTCATCCCACAAATAAAAGTTCCGCATTAAGTCCTCAAATTAATGATTTTTGCATCATCCACACCAAACTATTTTGACTGTAATGTAACGATCAATAGCTACATGAGTTTTGTTTTTTACTATAGAATAAAAGGTTAGTTGGGGTAGTTGGAGTCAACTGCTTAAAGTTAATCTGTCTAGGCAAAAAGTCATTTTATCTTGAGGTGATGAAAGTTGTTTTAAAGTAGTGCAATGTTTTATTATTTTCATATTATTTTGTAATGACAAATGTCCTCAAAATTAACTCCAAATCGTTATAATAATGCTTTAATTTAGAATATATTCCTAATCAATCAAACTATTATCGGCATAGCCTATTCAGTATGGGTTGGTGTCTGTCCAACAATAAAACATCATCAGGGTCTTAAAAAAATGTTCTTGTGATTATTAATAGAGCACACATGGCAAATGAATCTAGAACTTGAAACATTGAATTTTTAAATTATAATGACCTGCTGCCCAGAAAAATCTTATACTATTGCATAGTGGCATTTACGACACAAACTGGTTCAAATAATTTTGTTAAAACTATTGCGTGTATCGCACGCTGTTTTGTTATGTATCCGTAATTGAAAAACAATATATGTGTTTTTGTACATATTGATATATATATTAAGTGTTTTTATATATAACGTTCATCCATTAAATATATATATTTATTGATTGATTGATGTAATTAAAATATTAGCTTAAACATAGTAAAAAACAAATCTTCTTTGTTACCATAAAAACACATCTTCTTGTAAGGAAAGATTTTACATGTGACAATGCAAAATGAAATTGGGCATTGGCGTTTTATATAGGATTATAAAACCTTTTTTAAAAAATTAAAATTAAAATTTATCAAAATTTTTAAAGTACTATGTATTTTTTTTTTTCAGACAAGAGACCAAATAACTTTGTTTATTATTTTAGACATGCATAATATATTGATTGCGACTCATTCATATTCAATAATAGTTCTTAGATTCTTACACATAAGAATAGTCTTCTAAGTTTTTGCATTCTAGCGTAAATGACAAGATATAAGAATTGTTTTCATACAAAAACTCTCAAAAAAAAGCGAGTTCATAACAAAAAAATATGATTATAATAGATTTGACATGTAAATTTTGAGGTATATTATTAATCAAAATAGAAAAATAAATAATTATTATACATAAAATTTAAAGATTATTTGAATAATAATCTTAATTTAAAAATTGCATAATTTTTTTGTAGTTTAAAGAAAAGTAACTACAAAAAAAAATGTATAATATAGTTAAAATTATATTTTTTTTTATAATTTAGAAAATTTTAACAATTAAATTAGACTTAACATTTTTGAAAATTATAAATGTAATTTTAATGAAAAATAATTTTGTTATTTGAACATAATTTATATCATATCCTTCTAGTCATTGTCAACTATATAAGACATACATTATAAAAATGTTATTTAGTTTTTTAACTTGGTATGCATAAAACATTAGACATGATAAAAATTTATCCTACTCTTATATTCTCTTATACTTACCAGCAGATGGACCTTAATACATATACATTGTGTTGGTATTATGAATTTAAAGTCAATAAATTTACACTAAAAAAATTCATTATCAATACAATTATTTTTCTATTCATCCAAATTACAAACCAAGCGAAAATTATACACGATATAAGCTTGCTGAGACGTGCTGCGGTACATACTGAGAAGTTAGAAATGAGGAAAGAAACTTTGGTGGTTCGATTAGAATTAGGGATGGGCTATGAGCAAGCAATTATAACTAGAATAGGGATAAAGCCGACCTGAACATATTGGGCCTTACGATTTAAAAGGGGCAGATGATAAACACACCTCCACTCTCATATAAATACACCCCCTTTTTTTAAAAAATATATATATAATGTCTAAATTACCCTTTTAAAAAAAATGAAATTCCTAAATTTACATCTCCCTTCCCCGCACCCCCCTTCCCCGCACTAGAACGGCACAGAACGGGCCGTTCTGCAAGAAGAACGACCCGTTCTGATTGCAGAACGCCCCGTTCTGCAAGTAGTACAGGTCTGCTTGTAGTACGGGCCGTACTGAAAGCAGTACAGGCTGTTCTGCTTGCAGTACAGGCCGTTCTGGAGCCGTTCTGTTGCAGTACAGGCCACCGCGTCACTTTTAAAATGGCTACCTTATGACTGATTTTAAAACTCCGATTTTAAAAGTCATTTTTGTACTAGTGTGTCTTTCCATAGAACAGGTAAGAGTCTTTCTCTTACAAGACCACCTGCTGACATTGCGCACCCCTCTTCTTTCTCTTTCTAGCACTCCTCTTCTTCTTCTTTTTTTCCCGCACCTCGCACGCCCCTCTTCTTTCTCTTTCTGGCACTCCTCTTCTTCTTCTTCTTCTTCTTACTGTTACGGAAAGTTCTTTCCGGAATTATATAAAAATGTTCCGGAAAATACTTTCCATAATATTAAATTCTTATTCCGGAAAGTATTTTCCGGAAATGTTTTGTTACATAATTCCGGAAAGTACTTTCCATAATATTAAAGTTACTATTACGGAAAGTTCTTTCCGGAATTATATGAACAATAATTTTACTATTCCGGAAAGTACTTTCCGAAATGCTAATGACTGTAAAAGTACTTTCCGGAATGCTAATGACTGTAAAAGAACCTTTCTTATGCTGGTTATGGTGGGGCTAGTCCTTTTTTTCTATTCAGAATGACTGTAAAAGTATATTGCTTAATGACATTGAGCGGAAAGAGGCTTTGGGAAGAAGAGGGGTGTGGAGTGTGGGGTGTGGGGTGTGGGGTGTGGGGTGTGGGGTGCGGGGAAAGGAGGTGCGGGGAAGGGAGGTGTAAATTTAGAAATTTCATTTTTTTTAAAAGGGTAATTTAGACATTTTATATATTTTTTTTAAAAAAGGTGTGCTTATACGAGAGTGGAAGTGTGTTTATCATCTGCCTTTAAAAGGAGTTGGACAAAGCCTGTATGTGATATGTGCAAACCTTGGGGGAACCCAATCAGTTCCTTCTTTTCGGCCTGCGCTTGTACAGTTCAAATACCGATTCTTAAATGGGATTTAATGGTGAAAAAAAAAAAAAGGAATCTATTTTTTAAAAATAGAAACTTTTAATCCAGAAATATATAAATCAAATTTATATCTGTGATAAGGATAAATGAGGTAAATTATAACTCTTGTAGTTGATATAACTTATCACTGAAGCAAATTAATAGCTGATATGCTTACGCAGTTAACAAAAACAGCAAAAAAATGAAACAGAAGATAACCACAGAATAAAAACAAGGAACCTCTGGATACGCATTGCACCATACATCAGGCTAACCAATACCGGACAAAAGTTTCTCGCATTTCGTCTCAGCAAAACGTTTCGTTTGGCCCCAAACTCATCTATTTTTGAGTCATTAATAATTGAAAAGAGAGTGCAAACTACGTGTCAGCGCGTAGTTGAAATAGCACATGTTTATAGGACAAAACATAAATACATTTTCTGTGTTTGGATTAGAAATTTTAGAAATTTAAAAATTTTGAATTTTAATGTTTCATAATTAAAATTTTCTCTCAATAATTTACCTTAAATATTAGTATAAGTTACAGACATGAAAGTCTAATTTTAATTAAAGAACAACATTAATATTACTTAACCAACACCATATAAATCATGCCCTTGTTTATATTCATTATCCTAACGATATGAATTGTGGTAACAGATTATAACTAACGTGTACTTTGGGGCAGGGTGCGCTCACCCTAAAAAAGATCCCATGAATCAGGCTTCTAATCCACTTTGTTTTTTCAGCAAAGCGTTTGGATTCATAACCTTGAGTTACTTTTAACTAACTGCTAGCAGGAATATCGTGAAAGCTGCTTTATGAAGTTTAGTTTGTGTTTCTTGCAAGTAATGACAAACCTCCCTTCTCTTCCTCACCTTTCCCTCTCTTTGGCGCCACTCAAATATGCTGACCTATATAGATACACCTTTCATCGAATATATGCTGCAAAGACAAAGGTAACCAAAACAGAAACATCAGAAGCGGCTAAGAAGTTCTACAAGCCATGGATATCAAAATAGAAACTGATGACTCTAGGAATCAGGATGAACAAATACAACCTCTCCTGCGAAATAGTGAGGTGCCAGAAGCAGAGAGGAACCTGATTCAGAAAGCCATTAGCCAGACATTTCAGAGCACTGCCCATTTGGCCAACCTTTTACCAACTGGCACAGTCCTTGCTTTCCAACTTCTGTCCCCAATCTTCACAAATATTGGCAACTGTGACTCTGTCAGCAAGGTCATGACTGCTGCACTTGTATCTCTCTGCGGTGCCTCGTGCTTCTTGCTGTGTTTAACTGATAGCTTCAGAGACAACAAGGGGAACATCTGTTATGGGTTAGCCACCCTCAGGGGCTTGTGGGTTATTGATGGATCAACCACCCTTCCACCTCAACTTTCTGCAAAATATCGCCTAAAGTTTATAGATTTCATGCATGCAGTAATGTCAGTTTTGGTATTTGCAGCAATTGCATTGTTTGATCAGAATGTGGTGAACTGCTTCTTTCCAGCACCGTCAAATGAGACACAGGAAATCCTAACAGCACTACCAGTGGGTATTGGCGTTTTCGGCGGCATGTTCTTTGTTACATTTCCTACCCAGAGACATGGAATTGGCTTCCCCCTTTCAACAAATTAATTGTCAAATTCTCGTTTGTACTCATCTTTGTTACCGATTTAAATAATTTAATTGATCAAGTCTTGTGTTTGGAACAAATTACATCAAAACTCATTATTTAAATCGTATATTATTCAATTTAATTTTTTCCCCAATACCTTCATTTAATGTATTGAAATCTAAACCTAGCTTAAACTTAGCACTAGAAGGACTTCTCCATCAATCCATTATTTACAAGTTAGAACATAAGCACTATCTTGATCACGCAAGCAATATGTTATGCCAAGTTTTTCTTTTAATATAGAATTGATTGCTTGAGCAACTTTTCAGCGAATTGAACCTCACCTTTAACAACGTATCTTTCTTTAATAGTCTTACATCCGATAATAAGGAACCACTGCTTAGCTAAAATTTAAAAGCACACATCCACAAAAACTTGATAATTTTCAGCCCGAATATGTACATGCTCTAGAGTGTTTATTAAATAAGTCAATCTAGTAGTTTACCCAAGATTTAGTGATAATGCTAACTATATATCAGATCGTTAAGTGAGTATCTAGCATTCCCCTTTTGTCTAACATATATGCACAATGAGAATCCAACATTAAACAATTACAAAACTAATAAATTGAATCCTTAAATGTTAGCAAAAATGTATACAATTGCACTGTGAGAATACTGGGGAATAATTAAATTGTGCTAAATTACTGCAACTGACTGAGCAACAAGTTTTCAAGAAATTGACAAAAACTTCAAACACAAGTAATGGGTTTGATCAAAACTGGAAATTACCTGAGTCTACCTCGACCAGAAGGCCAGAACTATGGAAAATATATTCCAACAAACATGTTCCGCATTAAACTTTCAAGAAAGATAGGGGAAGAACCAAGGCAGTGTCCCCAAAGAAGAGAGAGCAAGGTTATGTGAAATATAAGGTCGCCCCCCAGAATAAGCTTATTTGTAAATCTTGCACACAGCATATTTACTTTCTCAATTTGAAGCTTTAATCATCTGGTCACGGAGATATTGATCATCAGAGAACTCAACCATTTCAGATGAGGAAGTGAGATCATGAATTGAAAAGACAGCATATGTTCAGTCACTGAAAAAAAGTAGAAAAATTTAGTTTGGATCTGCAATAGATTAGCTGTCAAAACTGTAAAAGCTAGAGATAAAACTATCTTTTCAATAAGTTATTTTTTCTTCAAACTCCATGATGCAACAATTTAGACGGGCATTAATAATTACATAAAGTTCCAAAAACAAAAAAGACTAGAAGAATCCAATTCCAGTGTACTTGTGTTATTCAATACACTTGGAAACCAATAATTTCCTGAAATTCAATTCCTGACTTGAGGGGTTTTCTAAGGTTTACAGCAATTGCCAGGAGATATTATTTTTTCAACAATTTCTGAAAAAATATTTTTTTTCTGTTAATGCTGGAGTCACATGATGATCAAATCATAGCCCTTAAGAGACAGCTAAACAAACTAGAAATATTCACAGATTTACTTGGCACAAATAACAAACACACCATTAATGGGCTCAGCACAAAATTAACTGAGATTAAATACAATAATAAATTAATGAGCAAGCTTTCTGCGCATAAAACATTTCATTAGCAACCAAGTAACAACCTTTTACAGTCAGGGGGCCATGCGATGCCAAAGGTTTTCAGTAAGAATGCAATGTATATCTGTATTCTGTGGACCCACAAACTTCAACTTTCAGCTTCAACAAACTTCTGCCTCAACTCAGCCAGCAGTAGCTCAGTGGCTTCTCTTACCTTTTTTCGATCCCAAAGTCCAGAGATTACTACATTCCATATTCCCTCATCTGGAATGCATCCATCTAATATCATCTCCTCAAGAATGCGAGCAGCTTTGTGCAGGTCTCCTCTCTTACAAAAACATTTGATCAAGCAGTCGAAAGTGTTAATTTCAACAGAGATGTACCTAGTGCGCATGCAAAGATACAACTGAAATGCACGTGGTGAATCAACATTATTACAAAGGCCCTGGACTATCATGTTATGCATCCTAACATGAAGGCTCCAACTTGCTCGATTTGGTGAGATACCACCAAGCACCATCTCATCAATAAAATTTACAGCTTCTTGATAGCTTCCTGCAGCACAGAGACCCCATATGATTTTCCCATACAATCCTGCATTTGGTTTCAAGCCTTGAATCCTCATCCTGTCAAGAATCTCCACAGCTTCACGTACCTTTCCTTCTTTACACAATCCACTGATTAAAGTACTATAAGTGACCATGTTAGGCAAATGGTGCTTTCTGACCATCACTTCTAATAACTCCATTGCTTGCGACGAATGACCACCTTTACATAAACCGTCCATCAGAGAACTATACGTAAAAACATTTGGCTCAATGTCATTTCGTTTCATCTCTTCAAGAAATCCTATTGCTTCATCCAAATTATTAGACTGACACAAGCCATGTATCAAACTAGTATAGGTAACAACAGATGCTGAAAAACCTTTCTGCTCCATCTCTTTCAATAGTTCCTTTGCCTCACCAATTTTTCCTAGTCTACACAGCCAATTTATCAAGGTACCATATGTATATGAATCTGGCTGACATCCACGGTTGGGCATCTCCCGAAATATCCGTAAGGCAGAATCAACAGTTTCCCTGTTTTTACACAGGGCCTTGATCAAGATATTGAGGGAAACAACACTAGGTTGAATGCCCACTTCTCTCATCTCCCTGTAAAAACCAATAGCCCTCTTTACATGGTTTTCCTCCACAAGAATATCAAGTATTGTAATGTAAGCTTTTTGAGTAGGCCTAAGCAGAAAACCTTCCATTTTGTGGAAAACCCTGATTGCATCAAGTGGCCTATGCACGCGTCCATAACCCCTGCATATAGTTAAAAATATGTCCTCTGTGACCTTACAATTTTCTTGCTTCATTCTCTCCAGCATCCCTTCTGCTGACCTAAACTGGTTCACAGTGACTAACCTAGAGATCATGAGACCAAATGTTTCATGATCGTGACGAAACCCATTACTGCATTCAGCAGTTGCAGAATCAAACATATTAAAAGCTTTGTGCACATCTTTTTCTGCTTTAATTAACTGCACAACTAGGGAATTTGTGATTTGCTTTGGCCACTTGAACATAGTTTTACTACCCATAACCCCAATTTATATTATAATACTTCAAAATAGCATATATTTTGGACGCTTGTAATGCTAGTTCCTCACAACAAGGTGGCTGGCTCCAAGATTCAAGTTGTTTTTCCCTTATGCATTTCGTTGAATAGGTGTCAGGCTATACGATGCACCCGAACAATGAGGTGTCAACCACCAAAAGTCGTGTTAACTAAGATTGAATAGAAATGAAACCATTTAAAAATAAAATTATCTGTTTAAAAAAATTTAAATTGAATGTGGGAAAATCTCCAACAAATAAAAAAAGGAAAGCATGTTACCTTGTTTTTGGGAGTGGAACACCATCGTCATTGTAATTTGTATCATTGTCGCGAAGAGAGTGGCCAAAGAGGCACCAAAACTTGGACCATCTTATTATAAACACATGAGCCAATTGAAAAAGTTGACAACAAATATTGTATTTTCTTAATTTGGAAATCAATATAAGTGTGAATGAAGATAACAGTAAGATGAATAATAAGATAAAACAAACTATTAAACACCAGCATACCTTTTAACTTTGAATTTTCCAAACAATTGATTTAGCTCTATATAGTTTGGATTAGTCAAGCCACTGCAACAAATATTGAAAATCAAAATGTGTATATTACAAGGCATATACTATTGGAAGAAAAATTATATTGCATGCTTTTTTGACAGAATTTTAATGCTGAGGGCTAAAACCAGTACACAAGAATATGCCCACCAAACAGAGTTTGGGATTAAGATCCATTTATTTCTCTAAACTGAACAAGCAAAGAAACTGTCAAAGAAGTTCTCTTGACAATACAAAACAAGGAGTAGGAGCAGATAAGACTATTGTTTAATGGGGTGACACTGCTCAAAGCCAGCCACTAGGCACCTACGGTTCTGCAACTTTTGCTGCGAATGTTCCTTATTTCATAGCCAAAAACATCACATTCAAAGTAACTAACAAGCTTCGTTACTCTACTTTGGTTTAAGTCTTGGTCTATTTGTGACTTCACAAGCAAATATTGTGCGTGCAGAACACTGACCTAGTTCCAGCACCAAGAGCAGTTGGAAAGCAAGCAATGGCATTGAGAATTTATGCAGACATTTCTAGGCTGCAATTTGAGGAGTTGTACAATAGTCTAATATTAATTTAAGCCGTATGATTATCACCTAAGCAATAAATTAACCTGAAATGGAATCTAATTTGTTGCTTCCCTCTATCCTTTCCATTTAATTGAAAGAAAAGTGAAATAATGTTTTGATTAATAATGAATTAATGATAGACATGGTAAGGTAACATGTTCTAATTAGATCGGTAACAGAACACTTACTAGGGATATCACGTGCATGCCATAGCACAGCTTACTAGGGAAGTCAAAACGGGCCAACCCGGCCCGGCGCACCACGGGTTGGCCAATAAGTGATCGCGCGTTGGCGGCCGCGCGGTGGCGGCGCGTGGTCACGAATCACCCAAAGAGCGGCGGAACCGCGGAAGAGAAAAATGCCTACGACCCTAAGAAAGATGAGAGCTCGTCCGTCACTCCCTCTGTCCCTTCCTTTCCTTGTGTAACCGTCTTGAGCTGCTGGGCTTACTCGGCTGTTGTGGACTTCAATTTTTTTTTTGTTTTACACTTCTGTGGGCTCTTTTTTTTTTCTTGCATTAGTGGGTTGGTGAGTCAAGTTTTTAATGTCTTATAAAAGTGCAACGGTTGTAAAAGTTAGAACACTTATAAGGGATTCAGTTACTCTATAAATAAATTTGGTTACATTTACCATATTTAATAACTCAATTTTTATATTAAATTTTATCGAATTAAAAGTTTTTAATGAATATATTAAGTATGCAAATTTTCAAAAAAATTGAAAACTATTCTATATCTCATTTCGTTAATTATGATCGACATATAAATGTTTTTATGATTATCCGTTAATTTAAATTAATGAAATTAAATATCAAATAGTTTTTAAATTTAAAAAAAAAATTAAATTGATTTATGCACTAAGAACTAGAGATGGGCAACGGGTGGGTTCGGGTGAAAAATGTTCAACCCATTGCAAACCGACTTTGGAAAAATATGACCCATATCCGACTGATTGTGCTTTTGGTTTGAGGCGGTTCGGGTTGAAACGGATTCGAATTTGAACGGGTGGGTACAATCGAGTTTAAGGTTTTTTGTAGACCAAGTTATCTTAACGAAGTTGTAGCTTAAAACGGTAAAAAAATATTTTTAAAATAGTGTACAAAAATAGAATGAAGGTGGCAATAAATGATGTAAGTAGATTCATAGATGAAACATTCATAAACTAAAGAAGCAAAAACAAAATATAACAAAATCCATAATTGTTACATGCAAAAAAAATATAAAGTTAGATTACAAAATCCATAAGAAATTACAACTGCACAAGTTGTACTCAAAATGGAGATAGGAAGATGAAAAAGAAAGACAAAGAAATGAACAAAAAGAAAACTCTAAAAATGGACTAGTTTGTTGAGAAGTTGAAAGAGGAAAGAGAAGACAAAAGAAATATTTAGGTTATGAGAAAAAGAAAAAAAATAAGTTACAAATTGATGGTTATATTATACTTGAAATAAAGACTTTTGAGTTTTGATCATTGTTGTTTAGTTATACAAAAGTAATAAAAATATAAACTTATCTCATTTTCGGTTGGGTTCGGTTTTCAGCGGGTTTAAAAATTCAAAATCGAACCCGCCTAATATAACCCGTATAAAATCAAAATTTTAACCCGATTTACTCATAAAATCCGCCCGAAACCACCCAAAAGTAATATTTTTTATCGGGTTTTTCGAGTTCAGTTTGGGTCCCGATTTTATGCTTACCCCTACTAAGAACCTTTAATTCAATAATTTTATCATTGAAAATTGATATAAAATTTGAGTTATTTAATAGAGTAAGTTTAAGCAAACTTATTTTTGAAGTAGATGGATCTCTCTCTACACACACACACACACACACATATATATATATATATATATATATATAATATAATATAATAAGAGATTCACTTACTCCAAAGACTTACTTCATACAATAAGTTATGTTTTACATTGAAGTTTAACAATTTAATTGATAAATTAAAAACTCTTAATGCATATATCGAATTTACAAATTTTTTAAATATTCTCGGGATTATTTGATAGTCTATTTTATTAATTTAACTTGACGGATAACCATAAAAAATATTTTATACATTGATTTGAACTTATAAAACAAAGTACCAAATACTTTAAATTTTTAAAAAAAAATTGTATATCAGATTACACATTAAAAACTTTTAATTCAGCAGTTAAGTAATTGAATTTTAATGTAAAAATGAGTTATTAAGTATAATAAATTTAAGTAAATTTACTCTTAAAATAAGTAAATCTACCATCTCTATACACACACCCTTTAAACCACAAAGTTTGTGTTTAAGGTTTTTGTCACCTCCTATTTAATGTTAATATGTTAAGTCTAAAATGCCCTTATTTAAGTTTAAATTGCCAAATAAGGATATATGTAAAAAAAAAAAGGTAATAAATATTACTTTAAATGTGAAAAATGTTAATCATGCTTAAGATGAAGTTGGTTTTGATGATTACAAATGAGCCTCTTGAGAAACAAGTGTAACATGTAGTTTACTTTGTGCTTTTAGTCTCTTAATAAATAAAAGTGCAAGTTATATCTTGTATTGTGTGATTTTAAGCTTTGTTGCTTGTGTGCTTTATGTTCGGTGAGTAACCTAACATTTTATCATTATCTAAACGATAATTAACGACTTACATAAATGTTAAGATTGATTTGTAAAGAGAAATGATGTGAAAAATCAAGATATTAAATTTTCACTTAAGATAGTTGATTATTTTAAGTAATAATCAATTATTTACTCTGGTTTTTAGTTTCATGAAGAAAAATTGTTGCAATAATTGATTATTCGTCCAAATAGTCGATTATTTCATAAACAGGTTTATGGAATAATCGATTATTACTCAAAATAATCGATCAAAATATTATTGACTGATTTTTATAATTGCTGATAACCAAATAATCAATTATTTGTGTAAATAATCAAGTATTTCAATAAGAAAACTTGTATATATTGTTTTTCACACCTTAGACAGAGAATAACACTAAAAACTTGAATCTCTATGATATCATTTATAAAAAAAATATTCTCCGTAACACATTTCTCTATACAAAAAATAGATTATTTAACCTTTGTGGTAATCTCAAAAAAGTTCAAAGAAGTTAGTTGATCATCATCTTTGTAGGGTGAAAGGTTAAACTACATGATTGCTTCACCTTCTTTGATCTGATTTGTAAATTAGGTGAATTTGTTCCATTAATTTTATATAATTGTAGTTATCTTAAATATGTTTCTTAAGTGGAAAAAATCTTGTAGTGAGGTATTACAAGTAGGTGCTTATTGGGATTCACAAAGTATGTTATTTAATAGTGTAGAAATGTATTGCATATAGTATTGTGATTGTAAAAGTTTTGACATTTAAGATTAGTGAAAAATCTCAATCGGGTTGATTAGAGACTAGATGTAGATCACAAGTAGATGTGACTAAATTAATATAAAATTGGTTATGCATTATTCTTTCTCCATACTATTGAATTCATATTCCTGCATTTTTATTTTCATATTTATTGATATGTGTTGTTAGACATGTTCATTACATTAAAAATTTAATGAATCTAAGCTTGTATTAAATATGAACTAAGAATCCTATCTAAAAGTTACAAGTCAACACACTTCTTAAACAAATTAAGAAAATTTTTAAAAAAACTAAGAAAAATTGTGTAAAAAACTTTGAAAACTCAATTCACCCCTTTTTTGGTTAACTCATAATTTTAACATAAAATATTAAAGCAAAAATTAAAATAAAAAAGTCTAAAACTTGAAAAGTCGTTTCATGAGCACAAATGAATATTTAAGGTTAAAACCCTAATTTGGTCCCTTATAATATTTTTTTGTTTCAATTTAGTCCTACTTTAATTTTTAGTTTCAATTTGGTCCCTAATAATTTAAATTAGTGTAATGTCGGACTTCCGTCCAAATTATTTAAACGGAATTAACTGTTGGCCACGTGGATGCCACGTAGATGCATAGGTGGATGCCAAATTTATTTAATGTACCTGGAACCAGAACGACCCGTTCTGGTTGCACATGTTGTGTGTTAATTTTGCATCTGGAACGGGTTGTTCCAGATGCAAAATTAACACAACATGAGTGCAACAGAACGGGCCGTTCTAAAACTAGAACGGGTCATGGTCGTTCCAGATGCAAAATTAACACAACACGAGTGCAACAGAACGGGCCGTTCTAAAACTAGAACGGGCCATTCTGGTTTTAGAACAGGTCATTCTGGATTCATAGCGGGTCGTTCCAGAACGCCAACCACATACGTACATTCAACAAAATGTCGCTATGTGGTTCAAAAATTGAAAATAAAAATTCATAATATAACATAAATTCAAAGACAGAAATATGGTTCAGAGACTGAAAACAAAAATTCATAACATAACATATACTAAGAAAGTTCAAAGAAATTACTAAGAAGGGAAATCATATGGATAATGTTGAAGGTGCCAATAATACATCTTATCCACCATATAACACTGAATGACTGACAGGATATCAACATTATCTACCTGTACATGTGGTTGTGTGGTGAAATGTTGATCTTGTGTGTCCTCTTTCTCTATTTCAGGTTGTATCTCCTCAAGAATAGATTGTTGTTGTTGGGGTACATCAGTCAATGACTTCAAGGGAAAATAACATGTTGTTTCATCCTTGACTGTATAGTGTCAATTTGGTAGTAAGTGATACACTCCAGTTTGACTAACAATGAAATAAAACCTACCACCATTGTCCTTAGTGATACACTGCATTGTCCTTAATGATACACTGTATAGCCCAAATGTTTAGCAATTGAAGTTATCAATCCCCATTGACAATATTACCAAATTCAGTGTTTGAAATACTTTGTACCTTGGGTCTTTTTCCTTGCACGATTCACAACATTGATTTAGAATCACGGGCGTGAACTATAATCATCGACCGTTTGTGTTTGGCATTCTGGAACCAGAACGGGCCGTTCTGGTCCAGATTTATTAAAAAAATTTGGCATCCACGTATGCATCTATGTGGCATCCAGTTAACTCCGTTTAAATAATTTAGACGGAAGTCTGACATTGCACTAATTTAAATTATTAGGGACCAAATTGATACCAAAAATTAAAATGGGACTAAATTGAAACAAAAAAATATTATAAGGAACTAAATTAGGTTTTTAACCAATATTTAATTATCAATTTCAAGATATTGTATAGACCATGTGAATAGGAACTGGAAAAAAAAACTAATTTTCATAGGCCTGCATACTCATTCATAAACTTGATTAAAATCTATAATGACAACCCTCATATGTGAGTGAGCCAACAATACCATTACCACATTAAAAGAAATTGAATTTATTTTGTAAATCCAGTTGTTCGTTGATTATTCAGGAAAAAACACAAGTGCAACAGTTGTATGCTTTTATGATCATTATTAGTGTTGAGAACTGTTGCTCCTAAGAAAAATAATTTATAACTAAATTGAATC